CCTGTAACTTAATGAACCCATGATCTCTTATCTTACCTGTAATTTTTTCTGAATGTCGTCGAAGTTTTTTGGATTTTTAGCCAGTGAAAAGATGGTATCCTTATCTTGTAAACTAGGTTGTAACATGGATCTATTTATAGTAACACTATTATCTTTCTGGGTATATTTCGGAGGTAGAAGTCGTTTTATTTTAGGACAAAACGTCACTTGATCTGCTGTATAACCTGAAAATAACAAAATATTTGTATCTAAATATAAACTAAGAAACAAACTATTAAAAAGCTCTGAAAACATTAATTATAGAGAAGTATCTCTGAGTCTTACATTGAGCTAGATTATAAAGGTGTGAAAGATTTGACTGTACTGGTACTAATTAATAAACAGGGTAATAAGTTGAGTGGTAGAAAGTCACAAACAATTAAAAACAGATCAATATAATATATCATAATAAATATTATTTACCTAATATAAACTCAATCTATCAACCTATTTGTTTATCATATATAAGCTTATGTATATAAATTTTAGTCATATTTGTCAAGTTGGAATTTCCAAGGAAAAAAATATGTGTTTCAGGGCTCAATTAAGGGAAAGTTTGATCAACAATCAATCAATCAGATCAAATTACAGTTTTGGATAATCATGTTAATTTTTAATCGCATTTCATAGAAATTTGGTAGCAAATCAAAATGTTGTAGTTGTAGACTTCAAATTAATCTTGCCTTTCAATTATAGAGTTGAAATTTGACACATAATAATTCTCCTAAATTCAACAAAATCTGCAACGACACAAGATAGGACAAAACATATCAACATTTAACAGACGACAGCTTTATGGATATCAATTTTTATTTATTATTTAAACACAACGTTTCATTAAGTGAAAACGCTACCTGTATGTGTAATGAAACATTGTGTTTAAATAATAAATAGAAGTCTATATCTATAAAACTAAAGTCAAGGCAAAACCTGAAAAACAATGCATCAAGGTCTCATCGGGGAACACACAGTGGCAATAACTCTAAAACCTTTCATCCGATTATTACCAATTTCAAACTTGACTGAGATCTCATCAATAAATACATGCATACCAAGTTACATCAAGATCAGATAAAAACTGTAGCCTTTATCATGCTTACAAGCCAAATTTGATGCGTTTAACTAAGTCAAGGGAAATAACTCTGAAACCGTTAATCTGATTATTTCCAATTTCGAACTTGACTGAGATCTCATCAATATATACATGTATACCAAGTTTCATTTAGATTGGATAAAAACTATAGTCTCTATCGTGTCTACATGCCAAATTTGACAGATTTTTATGAAGTCAAGGGCAATAACTCCAGAAACGTTCATTTGATTGTTACCAATTTCAAACTTGACTGAGATCTCATTAATACATACATGCATACTAAGTTTCATCAAGATCGGATCAAAACTGTAGTCTCCATCGTGCCTACAAGCCAAATTTAACCGATTTTTAGGAAGTCAAGGGCAATAACTCCAGAATTGTTCATCTGATTATTACCAATTTCAAACTTGACTGAGAACTTATCAACATATGCATTCATACCAAGTTTTATTTATATTGTTTAAAAACTGCAGTCTCTATGGTGTCTACAAGGAATGTGGACAGCCGGACCGACAGACTGACCGATCGACGGATAGGGGAACAGCAATATACTTCCACATTATTTAGTATTAAGTTTGACAACTAAGCATCTCTTCAAGAGAGTCCACATAGTTAATTTAGTATCCACTATTTCTTTAAACTGTGTGTAAAACATGCTGTTATACCTTATATAAGTCAATAATAGTTCAAGAGAGTCCACATAGTTAATGATGTTTATTTGTATTAAAGTTTGTCAATTCAGCATACCTTTAAGAGAGTCCACATAGTTAATGATGTTTATTTGTATTAAAGTTTGTCAATTCAGCATACCTTTAAGAGAGTCCACATAGTTAATGATGTTTATTTGTATTAAAGTTTGTCAATTCAGCATACCTTTAAGAGAGTCCACATAGTTAATGATGTTTATTTGTATTAAAGTTTGTCAATTCAGCATACCTTTAAGAGAGTCCATGTTAAATATATAATCCAGTATTTGTGTAAACTGTTTGTAAAACAACCTATACTGGTATTATAGTGAATATTTGAATCTAACTACCAATGATAACCTAGTTTACAGTCTGTTACATAATCTATCATTTTAACCAGGTTAATATTTTACTAGAGTTTATATAAACTATATCATCTAGTAAACAGTAGAATGTGTTTTATACTAGGTGATTAAAATATACACTGTCTTATCAATATATTTACATAGGATTATATAGACCTAGTATTATATAGACCTAGGATTATACAGACCTAGGATTATACAGACCTAGGATTATATAGACCTAGGATTATATAGGCCTAGGATTATACAGACCTAGGATTATACAGACCTAGGAGTATACAGACCTAGGATTATACAGACCTAGGATTATACAGACCTAGGATTATATAGACCTAGGATTATATAGACCTAGGATTATATAGACCTAGGGTTATACAGACCTAGGATTATATAGACTTAGGATTATATAGACCTCGGATTATATAGACCTAGGATTATATAGACCTAGGATTATATAGGCCTAGGATTATATAGACCTAGGATTATACAGACCTAGGATTATACAGACCTAGGATTATACAGACCTAGGATTATATAGACCTAGGATTATACAGACCTAGGATTATACAGACCTAGGATTATACAGACCTAGGATTATACAGACCTAGGATTATATAGGCCTAGGATTATATAGACCTAGGATTATATAGACCTAGGGTTATACAGACCTAGGATTATATAGACCTAGGATTATATAGACCTCGGATTATATAGACCTAGGATTATATAGACCTAGGATTATATAGGCCTAGGATTATATAGACCTAGGATTATATAGACCTAGGATTATATAGACCTAGGATTATATAGACCTAGGATTATACAGACCTAGGATTATACAGACCTAGGATTATACAGACCTAAGATTATACAGACCTAGGATTATACAGACCTAGGATTATACAGACCTAGGATTATACAGACCTAGGATTATTCAGACCTAGGATTATATAGATCTAGGATTATATAGACCTAGGATTATACAGACCTAGGATTATATAGACCTAGGATTATACAGACCTAGGATTATACAGACCTAGGATTATACAGACCTAGGATTATATAGACCTCAGATTATATAGGCCTAGGATTATATAGACCTAGGATTATATAGACCTAGGATTATACAGACCTATGATTATATAGACCTAGGATTATATAGACCTAGGATTATACAGACCTAGGATTATACAGACCTAGGATTATACAGACCTAGGATTATACAGACCTAGGATTATATAGACCTAGGATTATATGGACCTAGGATTATATGGACCTAGGATTATACAGACCTAGGATTATATAGACCTAGGATTATATAGATCTAGGATTATATAGACCTAGGATTATATAGGCCTAGGATTATACAGACCTAGGATTATACAGACCTAGGATTATATAGATCTAGGATTATACAGACCTAGGATTATACAGACCTAGGATTATACAGACCTAGGATTATATGGACCTAGGATTATACAGACCTAGGATTATATAGGCCTAGGATTATATAGACCTAGGATTATACAGACCTAGGATTATATAGACCTAGGATTATATAGACCTCGGATTAATGCTCAGGGTTCAGTATAGAATAAAATAAAAAAGAGTAAAAGTTGTATAGTAGTGCACTATTTAGGTGTTTCCAATTGATGGCAGAACTGATTGAGTTTGTGTTTCACTGTATTTTCTACACTGTTTATTTTGCTGTATTTACCAGTCATGTCTGACTAGAGCTCTAGAATGTTGATTTGATTGTATTTACCAGTCATGTCTGACTAGAGCTATAGACTGTTGATTTGATTTTATTTACCAGTCATGTCTGACTAGAGCTCTAGACTGTTGATTTGATTGTATTTACCAGTCATGTCTGACTAGAGCTGTAGAATGTTGATTTGACTGTATTTACCAGTCATGTCTGACTAGAGCTCTAGACTATTGATTAGATTGTATTTACCAGTCATGTCTGACTAGAGCTATAGACTGTTGATTTGATTGTATTTACCAGTCATGTCTGACTAGAGCTATAGACTGTTGATTTGATTGTATTTACCAGTCATGTCTTACTAGAGCTATAGACTGTTGATTTGATTGTATTTACCAGTCATGTCTTACTAGAGCTCTAGAATGTTGATTTGACTGTATTTACCAGTCATGTATGACTAGAGCTATAGACTGTTGATTTGATTGTATTTACCAGTCATGTCTGACTAGAGCTCTAGACTGTTGATTTGACTGTATTTACCAGTCATGTGTGACTAGAGCTCTAGAATGTTGATTTGACTGTATTTACCAGTCATGTCTGACTAGAGCTATAGACTGTTGATTTGATTGTATTTACCAGTCATGTCTGACTAGAGCTATAGACTGTTGATTTGATTTTATTTACCAGTCATGTCTGACTAGAGCTCTAGACTGTTGATTTGATTGTATTTACCAGCCATTTATGACTAGAGCTCTAGAATGTTGATTGGACTGTATTTACCAGTCATGTCTGACTAGAGCTATAGACTGTTGATTTGATTGTATTTACCAGTCATGTCTGACTAGAGCTGTAGAATGTTGATTTGACTGTATTTACCAGTCATGTCTGACTAGAGCTCTAGACTATTGATTAGATTGTATTTACCAGTCATGTCTGACTAGAGCTATAGACTGTTGATTTGATTGTATTTACCAGTCATGTCTGACTAGAGCTATAGACTGTTGATTTGATTTTATTTACCAGTCATGTCTGACTAGAGCTCTAGACTGTTGATTTGATTGTATTTACCAGTCATGTCTGACTAGAGCTGTAGAATGTTGATTTGACTGTATTTACCAGTCATGTCTGACTAGACCTGTAAATGGATGAACAGACATGAGGATTGGGATGGTGATAATCTATATATATCTAAATAGAGAATGATGGGTATATAAAGAGTTAACTTACCGTGCTTGTCTCTTATTTTAGGAGAGATACCAATCTGTGTTAGATATTGAACAGATTCTATGTTTCTAGATAGACAGGCTATATGTAACATACTACTACCATTATCAAACTGTTGATCTACCCCTACAATATAATAATATAATATATTGCTAGCCCTCCCTTGCGGGGATTGGGTGTACAAATAGGGGACAGACTGACAACTGTTGAATTGAAAATTGGGAAACTTTGCGGAGGCGTCATAGTCTGAAACCTCTCATGGAGAGTGTCTGGGAGACAATGGCCCCAACATTTGTTAAGGACCACTTGTACCATATTTTTATTTCTGTTCTGAATTAAGCCGGGATTAGACGAGGTATGGTGTACGGTGTGGAATTATAGATATAGAAGATTAATTAGAAGAAGTGGACATACGATTCGTTTCGTTCTATTTTCTACTGTATCAATAATTCCTCATCATACATTGTCTAATCTCATCTCTACATTCTACATACCACAGTAATCTTACCATTTCACAGTCATATACAACTAGTTAGTCTATATTTATTAATTATCTATTATTAAATAGGTCAATGTTAAATATTAACGACTTTCTACTAATTAATCATCTAATTAACATATTGACAAATTTCATGACTGCCAACAGATGACTTCATCACAGACCTTGTGATAAAAAATTTTTTTGGGATATAACTCATAAGTTTTGGCTACGATCTATCCTAGAGTTGGGAAATATAACAATATTATCAAATAAACGATTAAGAGAAAACAATTGACGATACGATATGGCATCCTGATATACAGTAGAGATAATATCATGACTGACAATATCATGCGACATCAGACCTAATAACAAATGTTTTAATTAGATTTTGAACCTGTCATGATAAAAATATGTCTACACAGCTTCACTCTAATCTATCAGATACATAGAACATAGGTTGGAGAAATAGTGCCAGTCAAAATTCAAAAGTTGGTAGAACTAAATAAACTCACTGTCAGGGTTTCAAAATAAATCACTGGATTTTAATCAATACAATAATCTAATAATCTAATCCAATATCTTATTAATTACTTCTTTATCAGAACCATATTAAAAATACTAAAACTATAAATATTCATACTTACTGATTAAACAGAGTTGAATAAGACATTTGAGAAGATCTATTGGTCCACAAACAATGGCTTGTAATCCCAGTTCAAACACAGCTCCACGTAACACCGTTGATAAAACTCCGGAATTCTGTAAATGTTCCTGTAACTCCTTCTTACTAGGCCACAAACTCGCGAATTCCACACAAGTGTCACCATGTTTATAGGAGTGGAAGGACAGAGCTGGTGTCCAGAATATATTCCGTGCATCATCTGTCCCTTCTGCTAGATATAAACTAGATTTATGTGAGTCGTTAACAGCTCTGACACGCTGTTGCTCTTGTCTTACCATATCCATATTGATAGAATCATCCAGAAACACGTGAGAATGATATTGTTTACAACTACATTCAAAATCATGATCCGTGGACGTGACCATAGAGACTGGCAGACTCTTCGTAGAAACTGAACCAGGACTTTTTCTATCAAGTTTAGGCGTACTTTTAGTCACATGAATTTTTTTAGAATCAGGAGATTTTTTAACCGCGGCTGATTCCAACTTGGGTCTATGTGGATTAGATATATTATAGATAAAACTGTTGGTATCGTTCCGAGTTGACATTTTATTTGCCGTCTGTTTAGATGTGTTTATGCTATCCCGATATATTTGATATCTGCCGCTCGTTGACGGAAGAACCTGAACTGATTTATGTAAATCAGATACGAAATCTCCAGCACTGTTAGATTCCGTTAAATTCACTGATTTTGAGAAAGCATCTTCACGAACAATTTCAAACGTAGATTCCAAGGATGATGTTGATGGTTGCCTAAAAAATGCAGTGCCATATAAAGGTGGTTGGTTTGAGGTAGAACTTCTGACAGAATAATTACTTGGTACGTACGAAAACATTTTAAATATTTAGCTCAGGTTAGTTCACTTTATAATATTATTACTAGAGTTACAAGCGATTAATATCTTCATGAAAATATTATTCATTATTACATAGTTGATAGTTTTTATATCACAGGCTTGTCACTTATAAAACTCTTCAACTGAATGATGCTGGCGTGGTGCAGTAGGCAGGGTTAGGATGCTAAAGCAGAAACAAAATTAAAATATCTTTAAAAACTTGTCCACTCGTTCTAAACTATGATTTCAAATTCGTTAAATTCTCAAAACTGTAAAAAGTCAATAGCATTAAAAGAATGTTTTATTAGCTATTAGCTTTGTATGTAACCACTACAGTAAGTGGCTGGAAAGGACAGCCATGTTATTGGCTAAAACAGAGGTCAAGCAGAGGTTACCAGAATGAAAAGTAAAGGACAGTGTTAGGCCTTACTGTAGTGGTTACGTACAAAGCTAATATCTAATAAAACATTCGAAACGAAACGAAACGAAACTTATAAAAAACGGACAGAATTTACGTCTAATTTGAATTAGACTGCATTAAAAGCTGCATTAAGAAGTTGTATGATGTGCTGGTATGTTTGAAGTGTAACAGACTGTAGTAAAAACTGCATTGGTATGTTTGAGGTGGTAATGGACAGTGATTATATTTTACAGCACGTTATCTTGAAGCTGTTTCTAATATTTACTATATCTGACTGTTTGAACACTAGAAGCTGTTTCTAATATTTACTATATCTGACAGTTTGAACACTAGAAGCTGTTTCTAATATTTACTATATCTGTAAGTTTGAACACTAGAAGCTGTTTCTAATATTTACTATATCTGACTGTTTGAACACTAGAAGCTGTTTCTAATATTTACTATATCTGACAGTTTGAACACTAGAAGCTGTTTCTAATATTTACTATATCTGACAGTTTGAACACTAGAAGCTGTTTCTAATATTTACTATATCTGACAGTTTGAACACTAGAAGCTGTTTCTAATATTTACTATATCTGACAGTTTGAACACTAGAAGCTGTTTCTAATATTTACTATATCTGACAGTTTGAACACTAGAAGCTGTTTCTAATATTCACTATATCTGACAGTTTGAACACTAGAAGCTGTTTCTAATATTTACTATATCTGACTGTTTGAACACTAGAAGCAGTTTCTAATATTTACTATATCTGACAGTTTGAATACTAAAAGCTGTTTCTAATATTTACTATATCTGACAGTTTGAACACTAGAAGCTGTTTCTAATATTTACTATATCTGACAGTTTGAACACTAGAAGCTGTTTCTAATATTCACTATATCTGACAGTTTGAACACTAGAAGCTGTTTCTAATATTTACTATATCTGACAGTTTGAACACTAGAAGCAGTTTCTAATATTTACTATATCTGACAGTTTGAACACTAGAAGCAGTTTCTAATATTTACTATATCTGACTGTTTGAACACTAGAAGCTGTTTCTAATATTTACTATATCTGACAGTTTGAACACTAGAAGCTATTTCTCGCCATTATTTAAAAATTGTACTTGAGAAGAAGTTGTGTTATCAAAAGGTGTGTAAAAGGTTAGGGTGGTTGAATAATTAACATGTTACTATAGTAACACTGGTACAGGTTAGATTGTGGTACATCTGAAATGTTCGTCTCCCCTCAGAAGAAAGTGTTGTGGGTAAGATTGTGAAAGGGCGCTGCTGATAAAATTACTAATGAATCTTCAACTTGCCACTTACTAACCTTAATAAAATCAAATCTCATTCATCTTCTTAAAAATCTGCAAAAAACAAAAATATCAAAATCACAATTCCAATCACAAATCTTTTTCAATTTAGT